CTAGGACAGTTACCTGTTAAGGATCTAGGGCAGTGTTTGCAAACCTAGCACAACATCATGTTTTCAAAGTCCTGATAGATCTTAGCAGTCCAGTCAACTCTCATTTCCCCATTCAGCTGATTAGCCCAAAGAGGAACTGGTGGCTTTAGGAGAACTGTTGAGTTTGGTTTGTTTGTTTTTTCTGTTTCATCAACTGCTTTTTTTCTCATCGGTTCAGTTTATACCAAGCTCACTGGCCGCTGCTTAGGGCTGGCTTGTGGCTGGGGCTGTCTGAACCATGAACGGCTTCAGGGGTGCCATCCTGTTCTGTGCAGTGGCTGCATGGGCTAAAACGGACAAGCCCGTGGGAGAGACGGAGGAGGTTGGATTTCAAAAATGCAAGAATGCCTTAAAACTGCCTGTTCTGGAAGCTTTACCTGGAGGAGGCTGGGATAATCTGCGGAATGTGGACATGGGATGGGTGATGGACTTGACTTACACCAACTGCAGGACCACAGAGGATGGGCTGTACATCATCCCCGATGAAATCCTAACCATTCCCCAGAAACAGAGCAACCTGGAGATGAACTCAGAAATCCTGGAATCCTGGGTGAATTACCAGAGCAGCACCTCCTTCTCCATCAACACAGAGCTCTCCCTTTTTTCCAAAGTCAACGGCAAGTTCTCCCCTGAGTTCCAGAGAATGAAGACCCTTCAAGTGAAGGACCAAGCTGTAACCACTCAGGTTCAGGTAAGAAACCTGATCTACACAGTCAAAATCAACCCTGTTTCCAAACTGAACTGGGGATTTAAGAAGCTGCTCATGGACATCTCCGACCGTCTGGAGAACAACCAGACCCGGATGGCCACCTACTTGGCAGAGCTCCTGGTTCTCAACTATGGTACCCACGTCATCACCAGCGTGGACGCTGGGGCTGCTCTCATTCAGGAGGACCACATCAGGTCCTCCTTCATACAGGACAGCCAAAGCAGCCGCAGTGCTGTCACTGCGTCTGCAGGAGTGGTCTTCCTCAACATCGTGAACTTCAGATTTGAAGAGAACTACACCTCACAGAATGTCTTCACCAAGAGCTACCTCTCAAACCGAACCAACTCCAGGGTGCGGAGCGTTGGAGGGGTTCCTTTCTACCCAGGCATCACCCTGCAGGCCTGGCAGCAGGGCATCACCAACCACCTGGTGGCCGTAGATCGCGCTGGCCTGCCGCTGCATTTCTTCATCAACCCCGACATGCTGCCTGACTTGCCAGGGCCCTTGGTGAAGAAGTTGTCTAAGACGGTGGAAAGTGCCGTGAGGCGCTATTACACATTCAACACCTACCCTGGATGCACAGATCTTAATTCTCCCAACTTCAATTTTCAGGCCAACACTGATGATGGCTCCTGCGAGGGGAAGATGACCAATTTCTCCTTTGGTGGGGTTTTTCAGGAATGCACCCAGCTCTTGGGAAACGAGGCTGTCCAACTCTGCCAACATTTGGAGCAGAAGAATCCACTGACTGGCGATTTCTCCTGCCCCTCCGGCTACTCCCCAGTCCGCCTGCTGTCTCAGATCCATGAGGAGGGTTACAACGGGCTGGAGTGTCAACGGAAGTGCACCCTCCTCGTCTTCTGCAAGACGGTGTGTGAAGATGTGTTCCGAGTGGCAAAGGCCGAGTTTAGGGCTTTCTGGTGTGTTTCCAGTGGCCAAGTATCAGAAAACTCAGGACTGCTTTTCGGGGGCCTCTTCAGTGGTAAGAGCATTAACCCTTTGACAAATGCACAGTCGTGCCCAGCTGGCTATGTCCCACTGAGACTTTTTGAAAGCCTCAAGGTATGTGTCTCTCAGGACTATGAGTTGGGGTATAGGTTTTCGGTCCCCTTTGGTGGGTTCTTTAGCTGTGCAGTTGGGAACCCCTTGGTGGATTCCGCCATAACCAAGGACTTAGGGGCACCTGCTCTGAAAAAGTGTCCCGGGGGCTTCAGCCAACACCTAGCCCTCATCAGTGATGGGTGCCTAGTGTCCTACTGTGTCAAGTCTGGGCTCTTTACAGGAGGGTCTCTGCCCCCTGCCAGGCTCCCGCCTTTTACCCGGCCACCCCTCATGAGTCAGGCTGCCACCAACACTGTCATAGTGACAAATACCGAGGCTTCAAGCTCCTGGATTAAAGACCCCCAGACCAACCAGTGGAGGCTGGGAGAGCCGACAGAGCTACGCAGAGCCATGAAGGTCATCCATGGGGATGGCAGTGGTCTCTCGGGAGGAGCTGCTGCTGGGGTTACATTGGGGGTCACCACCGCTCTGGCAGTTGTCATCACCCTGGTCATCTATGGTGCCCGGAAGTACAAGAAGAGGGAGTACCAAGCAATCGAGGACGAGAGGCAGAGTTTGGCTCCAGGCATTGCAGAGGCTGGAGCCACCCCTGACCAAGGGCAGGAGCAGATTCCAGCCTAAAGCTCCCCGGGGAACTGTCATTTCCGAGCAGAGCTTCAAGCATGTCTTTCATTCCTTCTCTCTCCACTTCTGCCTTCTTAACTACTAAAGTGGCAAGTGCTACAAAAAGCAGGTATAACTTTGTAACTTCTTTAGGTCTCCGGGCTGGGAAATTAATAGAGTGACATGGACAAGTTTGTGACTTTCTAAGCAAAAGTCCTCCTGGGGACTAAAACATAAAGGGGGCGTCTTTTCTCAATGTGCACTATTAATTATCTTTACCTCAATGCATACGTGTAAAAAGGGAGGCGGGAGAATGCTGACATCTAAACTTGGAAACGATGCATTTAATCTGACGTTGGCTGTGGTTTCCAATTCATGTGCTGTAAGAATTTCTGCCTTTAAGTGTTACCCTCTCACTATTTTGTTTTTTAAAAGCTCTCTGGGTCTCTTACTCCTGGAGGCGTCACAGCCCCCAGAAGACACAGGAAGTGCTGCTTGGCCAAAGCTTGGAGGGCTTTGTATTGACGGGCTGTGTCCTCGCCTCTGGGTCATCCCAACATCATCTGAACAGAAAAATGTTGCTTTTCCTTAGCCCATGTTTTCCAACTTCCTCACAATTTAAGACTTACCTAGAGCGGACCACTCTTGGGCTTTGAACGAGTGTCATAAAGTCTTCAGAAAGTATTTAAAAGTATACACTTCTAGTAGGATGTCAAGGGAGAAGGGATAGTTTGTAGAAAAAGGAGTAAGTGAAGAAAGGGTAAGAACTGGAAAAGATTCTGGTGCTCAGGGGAAATTGGAATTCTTACCCACAACCAACGACCTGGCTTTTCCCTCTTAGCTCATCGTAAATGAGGCAAAGAAAGGAGTGTAGATTTGGGTAGATCAATCATTACAGTTTCCTGGTCTGTTACCAAAGTACAACCCTTTCCTCTTCCATGAGTGGCCCTTACTCTTCCTGACTCCCATCACATGCACATACGCCCCAAACACACACACACACACACAAACACACACACACACACACACACACACACCCCACATTCCAACAAGAAATTCGCACTTTTTCTGGAGTGGGAGACAAAGTAAAACCCAAGAAGTCAAAGTAAGTCCACACCTAAATTTTTCATCCTCCCCAAAACCGAAACAGTAGACATGCCCGACCTTGATTTTTTTCCAGAAGAAAGGGGGCTGACATGATCAAATCCATGTTTTGAAATGAAATGGAAGGGTATCCAACACCATTTGTGACATAGTTCTTTCAGTTCCAGGCTGACTTCTGGGGCACTTAAGAGGGCGCACGATTGTCACCTGGCACTTGGGGCTTTGCCCCGTTTTAATACCACTCTCACCTAATTGTAATGGTCAGGATGAATTTGTTAATGTTCCTCCATAACATTTAAAAAAATTATATATTTCTTCACCAAATCAAGTGTCATTCATGAGTAATCATCTGTGAAGGAGAATTTGTCCTCTCCTCATTAACATTCACAACCAAGAGCTTAGGTTTACAACAGGTCCTTCTTCCGGGGAGCTTGGAGCGTCCCAATCTGTTGGGAGATGGGAAGAAGCTTCCTTCATCTTCCACTGTGACACAGAGAAGAGACACAAATTGCAGAATTGGAGCCCTGCGCTTCTGACTGCCCAACCAAGGACACGAATTTCTACAACCCACGCAGTTAACTCCGCCTCTTAAGCATTAAAATGTTCTCTTAAACCTCTGGGTGTTTTGTGAGTGAGTTTCCACCAAGCTAACCACTTTTCTGCAAATACTGACTTTCCCAGGAATTCTTTGAAGATTACTTACTGAGTCAGAGACAAAGTAGAGCTATCGGCTCCCAGACTTTTAGTGCACTAACCACCCATTGAAATGAAAAACTTCTTCCCAAACTTATATTTTGACTAACAAAATGGCACATACATATGCATTAACATATGTACTTGAGAAACACCCTGTCTGAAATGAGAACATGGGAGTTTGCAGTGTGCCTTCATCAAACCCTTTTACCAAGTCAGAACCCAGAGGGGGGTGTCCCCAGGTTCTGCGTTCCTGACTGGTGAGCTCAGGCTGTGGAATCCAGCTTTCAAGAAAACCACACTCTGTGGGCTCACAGAAACAGACATGTTTGGGGGACAAAGGCGGCTTTGCAATTGCATTTTATTTTTGTGTTCTTGTTCTTGTGTGTATTGGGATGATTAATACTAAACATTTAGTTGAAAAGAAAAAAACCCACAGCTTGTAAACTATTGAAACACACACTATAGTGTGGTCAGGTGAAGGGAACTTTAAGAAGCAAACACTCATGGTTTTTAAGAAGGTTTTCCCCCCACAGGTTCATTTACTTATTTCCTCTGCCATGTGGTCTGTTTCCTGTAGAGGAACAAGAACTCAAGCCAGGTCCCGGGGTCAAACGTGTGGGTAGGAAACATGTGAGGGGAAAGAAAAAAAAAAAAAAACAGAGAAAAGGGGTTTCCCCCACCCATTCCAGTGGAAGGGCTTGTGGTCATTTACAGACTCACAGAGGTACCCCAAAAGCCTCACAGACAGGTGCCGTGATCTCCAGAAAGCAGAAGGTTGACAACAATTTGTGGCTGTTCATTTGCGCTTTATTGTTCTGCACATACACCTCATGAGCACCAGGTGGCGACGTCCTCTCACAGCAACACCAGGGACTTCAAAACACACCAGTCACAAAGATTTACATTAGGACATTCACCTGCCCTCTCCCAGGAACCCACCCCACCCCACTCAAGTGCCAGTGACCACAGACAAGGAAAGGGGACAGGGCCCTTTCTTGTACCACACCGGGCCTTCCCCCAATCTTCTCATGCACACAACAGTGCAATACCAGGACAAGTACTTTTGACCAAATCTAGAACCACAGAGAAGTCCAAGTTTTACAAAAAAGTGGGGGGAAGGGGATGAAAACACAAAGACACACACACACCACATGAACACAATTAACCTTTAAGGGATGAGCATTTGACAGGATCGGTCTCCAATCCCATTTTGTCATCCCTGGAGACTCAGGAAGGGAGAACCTGGGCTGCTGGTGCTAAGACGATGAAAGGAAAGGCATGGAATTCCCTGCATGAGCCGGGGCACTCATCAGGGCTTCTGGTGGGGAAACATCCTGTGCCAGCCTGGGGGGTGCACAGGGCTTCTGCTGGCAGGGCTGTGCCTTCCCAGCTTGGCACAAGAGAAAGGGCAAAGGAATGCCCCCCGTCTTGCCTGGCACAGTGGTAGAAAAGAAATCCAAGATTCCTGCTGCCCAGAAATTCCCACAAGGAGATGAGGATGAGGTAGCCCCTACCGAGCATCCTCAGAGAGGAAGAAAAACGGGCCACAGGCACAACTGACATTCTGGGGAAAAGGCTTGGAGGCACGAAGACTCTTCTCCAAGTAGTGTTGCCCCTGGCATACAGCCTGCCTTGTGTACTCTCTGGGTCCTCTTCCACACCCACGCCTTCTTCTGCCTGACGCAGGAAATCAGTTTTTCCCCACTGCCCATTGCCAGTTGTCAAAGCACGTCTTCTTTCTTCCCCACTGCCTAGTGCACAGTCGTGCTTGTACCCGCTCACCCTCAGTCTTCTTCCTCATCCCTGTGGGTGACTAGCCCAGCAGAAACCTGACAGGGGTGCTGAAGGCGGAAGTGGTACTAAGCCTACAACGAGGCTCTCTAATGGCCTCTGGTACATGGTAGCCTGGTGAAGGGCACAGGGTGTGATGTCTCCCATCACGTTCAGATGTTTCCTTCCCAACTGTGGCAGGGAGCTACCACCGCATGCAGCAGTGAACTCAGGACCAACCTCTGGGTCTGCTGGTGACATAAAATGGCTGCAACTGACAGGAGAGGCTGGAGCTAATGTGGCAGACACGATTCCGCCTATCAGAGCTCCTTCTGCTGGAGCCAATCAGCGTCCCTATAGCCAACTGGAAAAGGAGGAAAGGCTCAGCACCAGCATGTCCCGAGGAACTGGGTGACACTCAGGTAAATCTGATGGCCACAGTGATGTCAAAATGGCTGCAGGCCAGCCAGCAAGCAGCAATGAAGCTGGCTCTCAGGAAAGCTTGGTTTCCGGTTCTAACTTAAGTACCATTTTTGAAGGTTCTTCTGTTTCAACTTTTCTAACATCAAAAACCTTCCAAATAGTATGAAATATATATGCATATATATACGTCAAACCCCCAAAACATGAGGTATATAAATTCAAATTAGTATCCAGAGGAACTTCCCCCAAACACATAGTTCAAAGAACCCACTTTTTCAAAGGGGGAATTGGGTTTCCCTTCTTGATCCCCCTTCTCTCCTCCCTGACCCCCAATTCATTCCTTAATGGGAGCCAAAGGCAAAAGGAATGTTGGGGAGGGGGGTAGACAGGGTCTTGGGACACAACCCAGGCTCAGGTTGGACTGGACCGTAAGGTGGTCCTAACCCTGTTCCTATGCGCTAACGAGGCCCCCTCCATGCTCTAGGTCAATCGGTAATAGATGAAGGCAATGAGGGGCCCAGCACCACCTCTGGGCTCAGATTAGCAAATTTGAATGGACACAGATTGAAGACCTCAGAGAAATAAGACTGGAAGGAGATTGGCTCAGATCCAATCTTGAAAGAGATATAAAAAGTGGCCAGTCCAGCTCTCACCTTACACATCTCCCCAAACACAGTACTGTCTCCATCAGAGTCCAAGTTTACCATGGATGGGTTGTCAAAGGGTGAGAGAAGTTCAGGGAGGGACCACAGCCTGGCTGTCTGATCCCCATCAAAACTGGGGTTGGACATCTTGCAAAACAGAGCGTGGGAACATGACGGGACTCTCCACCAACCTGGCGCAGTGGTGTGCGCACATACACACACATACACACATATATGCACATACACAGATGGCACAGAGCCCAGCCCGGGCTCTACTCACAGTGACTTGATGAGACTCATGGAATCTTTGAGCTGGTCTGGGATGAGTTGGGAAGAAGGCTATGGGCTCCTCTCCCTGAGGACAGTTCAGGTGCTAAGTAGGATGCAGGCTCTGGTCTGATCAGAGAGTGGCTGGAAACATCATGGGGTGCCATCCAGAGAGGAATCCCAGAGCCCATCCATCTGCATGAAAGAACCAGGTGCCTCTTTGGACAGGTCAGAGGTGTGAGGAGGAGGGAGGGCCCAGAGAAGCCAAAGACTGTTATGAGAGCTGAGAATGCTCCCAGAACCCTTTGCATCCCTGACCCTCTTGGCAAGAAGTGCTTCCTCGCTGTACACCAAGGCATTGATTTCTGATGTCACAGCAGTTTAGCGGTTCACCCCTTTGCCCCCCAACCTTGCACAGTGAGAGCTCCTCGCCTCCAGTGGAGGAGAGAAAAGCAGAAATTCCACTCTCGAAGCAGAGTGGAAGCAGCAGGAAGCCAGCTGGGCAAAGAACCTCAGGCTTCACAAGGCCAGGGTATGGAGTGCCCACGCACTGTCCATACCCTAAGTGTGCTGACCATGGCCCCACTCAGGGGGAGGGGTGGGGGCGGTGTTCTTGCCTACCCAGCACCGAAAACTCCATGGGAACAGACCAGGGGTGGCCCTCATCCCATGTCCCCTTTGTGGTGGATGAGGTTTATGAATGACATCCCCTATTCAATCTGGCACCCCCTTGTGGCTGGGAGGGATGGGGGATGGAGACAGGACAGGAGGGGAGATGAGGGAGTTGGGAGGTCAGGGCACCAACTTCTACCTTGACTCTCCCCACTTCCTGTCCTGTGGTCCCCACAGCCCCTCCCCCCAAAGCCCTTCCAGCTCAGTCCTTCTCCTGGGCCGTGCTGTCCTCAGAAATGCCCTGGGCAGCCAGTTCAGCCAGCACATTATCCAGGTAATTGGCATCCGGGTAGCCATGGCCAGTGAGATTAGAGCCGAACTCTGTCTTGTGGTGGACCTCATTCCAGATGACGGTATCTGACTCGCCCGTGGTGCTGGAGGTACCGATGGCAAAAATGAGGCGGCGATCCCAGGCCACCAGCAGTAGCTTCAGAACCTGGGACAGAAAAGGCAGGAGATCAAAGTCTGGCACGCAACGTTGGTCAAAGACTATCCCTTGGATGGCAGAGTCCTCCCAAGGGCCCCACCCCTTCCTGTATCATGACACCCTAAGGAGCACAATTGGATGTGGGGTCAGGGACCTGCAGGAAAGTCTTGGCTCTGTCACCGGCTAACTGTGTGACATTGGACAAGTTTTATCACCTCTCTGGGCTTTAATGTCCTTATTTATACAACGGCAATAATACGATCTGCCCCTAAAGGTTGTGAGCAGTTTAGCAAGTGCCATGTGAAGAGGACTTTCATAGCAGTGCCTGGCACGTGCTAGTCAACAAATGTGAGCAACCAACATCATCATAGCTGCATTTTAAAAGACAGGCCCTAGGAGGTCAGGGCACTTCTGAGCTGAGATCTCCTGAAGCCGTGCCCCCCCCCGGTTTGCCCACAGCTAAACTTGTGGAGTGTTTCTCCAATGGTGTGGTTCAAGCTCTTCAAGCCTATTTCATATTTATTTTCTCATCTGGCCCTCACAACCACACTTTGAGGCAGGCCTGGCAGGTGCTATTATTGTCTATTTTACAGGTGAGGCCCAGGAAGGTGTTAAGGCTTGTAGGACGTTCTCATTCAGCCAAAATTAAAAAAATAGATACAGAGGGTGCCCAAACAATGGATACGCATTTTAAGAAAGGAAAAAGTTGTATTAAAATTGTAATACTCAATATATACGGATAACAAAAGATGAATACAAGTCACGTTTGACTTCTGCAATTACACGAGGTGCTCAAAGTGGTGACCATCAGCAGAATTTTAACACAGTTTTTTCCTTTCTTAAAATGTGTATACTTCTTTTGGGGCACCTTGTTAAAATGAAGTAGGTTCTCCGGCGCGGCATTTCTATCAAGCTTCTGCCACTAGTGTCGGTCCCGGGACCAGGCTTAAAGCAGCAAAACCCTAAAGGAAGGATCCTAAAATAGACGAACTATTGCCAGTAACACCCAGAAGAGGAGAAAGCCACAGCCCCACCCCCACCAATCCATAGGAAGAAGTTCTGATCACATCCACTCTTACCTATGGTTGACTCAGCTATGACCTTGTTACTATGCACATCGAGAGTTAAGACAGACCTAGTTCCCTTTTGCACGGTCATCATAGGGAGCAAAGCTTGGAGCCCTGACATAGACGTAAATAACCTGACACCCGCACTCTTACTTTTCTCCCTTTCTCGCTGTCTGGAAGGTAACAGTGTCGGGGGAAGCCACGAGCGCTGAAACTCTTTCCAGGATTCGGGTGTTCCGGCCCCTGAGCAGAAGGAAAGAAAGCGAAGGGCATTTTTCAAAATATTTCTGGCGCAGGGGTTCAGGCTGTGACTAATTCAAATCATCATGACAATAATAATGGCCGTAGAGTCTAGACAGAGAACAGACCCACAAAACAGTCGGAGTGGTCACTCAACCCGCTCACTTTGGAGTCCTCAGGCCTGGCTTTGGACCCGAGCTGCCGCAGAGTTCCCTCTTGGCGTGTGGGTTCCCAGTCCGTTAGACAGGGCGGATGTGAAATTCTCATTTTGTGCGACTATTAGGAATGTTAAGTGAGCCCGGCGCCTGCTGCATGCTAAGAGCTCAGTAAATATTTATTGGCACCGTCATCATCATGTATTCGGGCTGTTTTGTTTTACAAAAGAGGAATACTGCGGCCTTCAGAGGTTAAATGACTTCTCCAACATTAAGGGCTTTGCCAAACCTGATTTCCTGAGGCACATTCTGGACATTTTGCCTCCAAACGAGTCAGGATAGCACAGGTGACTGTGACTATGAGCCATGCAATCAGAATGATCTGAAGGATTCTTATAGATTTTGTCCTCAGTCCTCATGGGTTCTTGTTTGCTTTTTTTTGTTTGACAATATGGATTGGGAAATTCATGACTAAAAATCTAGCAACATTTCAATTGTCATCACCCTATCCTATGAAGCAGTCTCAGGCCACGGGGTGGGAACAAAACGGAAGCAGAATTTACCCAGAAATCAGGCCCCCTCAATCCAGAATGGGCTCACAGGCCGCTTTGAGAAATTCATGAAAAGTGAGGGATTTTAGCCCAGTGACGTCTTCCCCATATGTTTGTCTATAGTTTCTGAGCAGCCCTGACCCACTCAGAGCCTGTGGAACCCTGTTTTAAAATCCCTTCTAGATAAAAACAATATAATATTGATCATTCCATGCTTCTGTCACCAGCTCCCACACAGAAGATCAGTAACCGGTGTCTTGGCTGAATAATTGAATGAGCGAGTGAATGTATGAATGAACGACAAAACTGCAAGAAAACACAGATTTTTCATTTTCTCTTATTATGGATAATGGTTCCAAAATGTTATTAAAATTCTGTGATTTTAATTTTTTTTTTTTTTAGTAGCATGGTTCAAGGTCATCTTTGGTTTGGCAAATAGAATGCAAACGTGCAGTGGGGTCTCGGAGAAGGGAGCGATGGCTGTGAGCAGAAAGAGGCCACGGTGTCTTCCTGGAGACGCAGGACAGGAAAGTCCTGAATTCCACACTCACATGAAATCACTCCACGTTTGCAACATTCTCATGGCCACGGCCGTGTCTAAGCCAGGCTGCCTGAGTGCAGCGCCAGCTCCGACCAGGGCTCTGCCTGCTCCTCTCTTGCCTGGGATTCGCCTGCTGTGCGCCAGCACAGACGCCTGCCTGGCGCTGACCCAGCAGGGCTGCGTGCTCCTGGCACCTTGCTAAGCGAAGCAGTCACGACTCTGCCTCGGCCCAGATCACAGCTTCTCCCCCAGGGAACCGTTCTCTGCAGCGAAGGCTGAGCTTAAAGGTCTCGACGCCTCACAGAAGCCCAAGTTTCCATGGATGGGCTGAGAAAGGGCAATGAAATCGTGATCTTAATTGGGGAGGCCCCAAATTAGACTCTTCCTTACGGCCATTCAGCACCCCCACCTTCTCCCCTCCTCCTAAAACTGCTCTTCGCCATTTTTCATGCCTTTCAAGTCTTTCCTAGCGACGCCCCTGCACCAGAGAGTCTCCTCAGGCCCTCCCAGTCACACAGACACAGGCCCTGTTCCTCAGTCTGACAAGTGGGGTACCCCCGTAATGAGGGCCGCCAGGTATTGAGCACACAAGTACTGTGCCGGGTACCACAATACGCACACACAAACATTATCTCCCATTCTGGCGAAACCCCTGCATACTAGGTTCCCGGCTATACAGATAAGGAAACCAAGTCGGGAAGGTCAGGTGGCTGTCCAAAGTCCCCAGCTAGTGGGGACCAGCCAGGACCTGGAGGCCAGGTCTGCCAGATAGTGATTTTTCCCTGACTGGTTGGTAGTTCCTCGAAGAAGAATCATGTTTTTCATTGAATTCACTTACAGGCTATCACATCTTCCTGTTTTATTTCTTCCACACCATTTGTCACTATTTGGAAGCACCTTGTTTACCGTATTTGCCGGCGTATAAGACGATTTTTTGGCCCTGAAAAATATGCCTCCAAGTGGGGGGTCGTCTTATACGCCAGGTACACTTC